TACAATAAGGATGATGAGAAGGGAAGAACTGGAGAGACTAAACTCCTTGAAGGTGAATGGATCACCAGGGCTGTTAAAAGAAGCCAAACAACGGTACAACGCAGGAACAGGCCTTTCGGCCCACCGAACTGGTGTCAACACTTGGCACCATCTAAACTGAAACCTTTTGCCTCTCTTTGAACCATTCCCTCTATTCCCTGCCTATTCATGGGTCTGCCAAGATGCCTGTTAAATATCGTGATTTTATCTGCTTCTGCCACCACCTCTGGTGCATTCCAGGCACTTGCCTCTCACATCAACTTTAAACTATCTGGATTTTACCTTAAACCTGTGTCCCCTAGTAATTGACATTTCCACCCTGGAAAAAGAGTTTGACAATCCTTTGCCTCTTATGATTTTGTAAATTTCTATCAAGTCACCCCTCAGCCTTCGATATTCAAATGAAAACAAATTGAGTTTGTCTGATATAACAAGGTGTAGAGCTGGATGAACACAGCAGGCCAAGCAGCATCAGAGGAGCAGGAAAGCTGACGTTTTGGGTCTAGACCCTTCTTCAGAAATGGGGGAGGGGAAGGGGATTCTGAAATAGATAGGGAGAGAGGGGGAGGCGGATAGAAGATGGATAAAGAAGAAGATAGGTGGAGAGGAGACAGACAGGTCAAGGATGCGGGATGAGGCTGGTAGGTAGGAGATGGGGGTGGGGCTTGAGGAGGGAGGAGTGATAGGTGGGAGGAAGGACAAGTTAGGGAGGCGGGGACGAGCTAGGCTGGCTTTGGGATGCGGTCGGGGGAGGGGAGATTTTGAAACTTGTGAAGTCCACATTGATACCATTGGGCTGCAGGGTTCCCAAGCGAAATATGAGATGCTGTCCCTGCAACCTTCGGGTGGCATCGTTGTGGCACTGCAGGAGGCCCAGGATGGGCATGTCGTCCAAGGAGTGGGAGGGGGAGTTGAAATAGTTCGCAACTGGGAGATACAGACATTTGTCACGAACCGAGTGTAGGTGTTCCACAAAGCGGTCCCCAAGCCTCTGCTTGGTTTCCCCGATGTAGAGGAGGCCACATCGGGAACAGTGGATACAGTATACCACATTAGCAGATGCGCAGGTGAACATCTGTTTGATGTGGAAGGTCTTCTTGGGGCCTGGGATGGGAGTGAGGGGGGAAGTATAGAGGCAGGTGTAGCACTTCCTGCGGTTGCAGGGAAAAGTGCCGGGGGTGGTGGGACTAGTGGGGAGTGTGGAGCCTGGAGCAGACAAGGGAGTCATGGACAGAGTGGTCCCTCTGGAAGGCAGATAAAGGTGGGATTGGAAAAATGTCTTTGGTAGTGGGGTCAGATTGCAGGTGGTGGAAGTGTCGGAGGATGATGCGTTGGATCCGGAGGTTGGTGGGGTGGTACGTGAGGATGAGGTGGATTCTGTTTTGGTTGTTATTGCCTGGAGGGGGTGTGAGGGATGAGTTGCAGGAAATGCGAGAGACACGATCGAGGGCAAATTCAACCACTGGCAAATTTTACCAGCTCACTGCAGATCCCATCTGACTTTACATTCTGCACCATCCTGCCATGAGGGACCTTTTCAGAGGCCTTGCTAAAGTCAACATAAACAACATCCACTATTCTGCCATCATCAATCATCTTTGTCACTCAAATTCAATCAGTTTGTGAGACACAACCTCCCCAGCACAAAACCATACTGCCTGATGCTATGAAGTCCATTTTCTTCCAAATGCGAGTCCCTAAGACTCTTCTCGAATTTCCCTACCATTCATTCAAGGCTCTCAGACCTATAATTTCTTGGATTATCCTTGTTGCCCATCTTAAAGGAACAACACTGGCTACACTCCAATCCTCTGGGTCCTTCTCTATGACTAAAGAGGATACAAAGGCCCTAACAATGTCCTCCCTCTATTCTGGGATAGATCCCATCAGATCCTAAGCACTTATCTACCTTAATGCTCTTTGAAACCCCCAACGCCACCTTTTTCATATCGAATGCACTAGAACATCAACAAACCCCTCTCTAGACTCACCATCCACCATGTCCTTCTCTTTTTTGTGAATACCAATGCAAAGTATTTGTTAAAGTGGTTAGGGACCTTGCCAGCATCCTTCGCTCCGTGCATAAATATCCTTGAGTAGACCTACTCTTTCTTTAGCTACCCTCCTGTTCCTTTTATACATATAAAAAGCCTTGGGATTTTCTGTAATGCTGTTTGCCAAAGTCATTTCATGGCCTCTTTTTAGCCCTCCTAACTCCTTTTCTTTCCTGCTTTCTTTATATTCTCCAAGAGCTCTGCCTGTCTTCAGTTTCCAAAACCTTATGTAGGCCTCCATTCTATTTTTGACTAACCTCGCAATTTCTCGTTATCCAAGGTTCCTAAATCTTGCCATCCTTATCCTTCACTTTCACAGGAACATGCTAGTCATGAACTTTAATCAACAGGCCTTTAAAAGATTCCCACCTGGACAGCTGCTCCAATTTACATTCCCAGTTCCTGTCTGATATTGTTGTAATTAGCCTTCCCCAAATTTAGTTTTTAACCTGAGGGCTACTATATCTGTATCCATAAGTTGAGTTGATTTGATTTGTTATGGTCACGTGTACCTATATACGATGAAAAGTATTGTTTTCCATACTATCCAAGCGAATCATACCTTACGTAAGTACATCATGGTAATAAAACAGAATGCAGAATATAGTGTTACAGCTACAGAGAAGATGCAGAGAAAGATCAACTCCAGTATATTAGAGGTTTGTTCATAGGTCTGATAACAGCAGGAAAGAAGCTGTTCTTGAATCTGTTGGTACGTGTTTTCAAACTTTCTTGTCTTCTGCCCCATGGAAGAGAGTATAACTGGGGTGGGAGGGGTCTTTGATTGTTTTGGCTGCTTTCCTGAAGCAGCAGGAAGTATAGACCAAGTCAGTGGATGGAAGACTGGCTTTCATGATGGATTGGTTGTGTTCACAACTTTCTGTAATTTCTTGAGGTCTTGGGCAGAGCAGTTGCCGTACAAAGCTGTGATGCATCCTCAGATGCTTTCTATGATGCATCTGTAAAAATAGGTAAGAGCCGTTTTGGACATGCCAAATTTCCATAGCCTTCTGAAGGAGTAGAGGTGTTGGTGTGCTTTCTTGACTGTAGCGTCAAGAAGGAACTTAAAACTTACTTACAGGATTATGGTCCCCCACTGAATCCTGGCCAGGCTCATTCCCCAATACCAGATCTAATATGGCCCCTTCCCTAGTTGAGCTATTTACATATTGTTTCAAGAAACCCACCTGGACTTACCTAACACATTTCACCCAAAATGCCCCTGGCTGCTATGGGAATTGTAGCCAATGTATGGGAAGTTAAAATCACCCACCGCAACAACCCTGTTGCACTCACATTTTTCTGTAACCTGCCCACATACTTATTCCTCTATCTCCCTCTAGCTGTTGGAAGATCTGAAGAAATTCTGAAGAAGGGTCACTGGACCTGAAATGTTAACTATGCTTTCTCAGTGCAGATACGCCAGACATGCTGAGATTTTCCAGCAATTTTTGTTGTGTTTCTGATTTCCATCATTACACCTGGTTTTTTTTGTTGGGAAGTCTGGAGTACAATGTCATCAAAGTGATTGCATCCTTCCTACTCCTGAGTTTACCCATATGGCCTTGCCTTGGAAGGTGTACTCCCAGGGAGAAAATAGTGAATGCTGTAGGGACTTTTTACCCATCTCACTAGATACAGACAGGGTGCCAGGGGATTGGAGGTGCGCGAATGTTGAACTGTGTTAGATCTCTCATATTTTCCATAGAGTCCGAGTCAAGGGGTGGTGTCAGCTGACGTTGATATACAGTACAGCTTCATTTCTCAGTACAATGAGGCACACAGAAAGCTTCAGAATGTTCTTTAGTGAATTTTTTTTGTAGATATGTGGTTCTATAACGACTTCAGAATCTATATCTATTATATTCTGAAGAATCTTAACTAAAACCTACTCTCATTGTAACAGATTTGATTAAGTAATTCAAGAGAAACAACTAATTAGTGTGAAATGTTCTTATCTATGTAAGCAACTGCAGCTGCACATTCTGTAACCTGGATTATACAGAGCTATCATTGTTCTACCTGTGAAGACTATGTTAAGCAAATATTTTCCCAAGCCCTGTAACTACTGTCAGCCATATTCTGCTGCATTAGCCATGGGTAGCTGTCAACCTTTTTTTTTTGCTGCTAATTCATAGCCAGCCCTAGCAGACTGTTACTCAAAAATGCTATAAGAGATCAGCCAAATAATTATAAGTTGGTCAGTTTGGTTTTAGCAGTTCGTGAATTACCAGGGTCGGTTCTGAGAGATAGGATGAGCTATTACTTAATGCATTGATTAATCATAGATAGCCTGCGTGGTTTTGATCCGGGAATGTTGTCTTAGTAACTGAATTGAATGTTTTAAGGATAAAATGTAGTGGATTGAATTCATCTACATGAATTTCAGCGAGGCTTTTGACAAGGTCTGTCATGGCGGATTAGTCAGAAAAATTAAAGTCAATAGAATACAGGGGATTTGGATCCAAATTTGGCTCCATGACAGGAAGCAAATATGGAGGAGGATGGATGTTTTTGCAATGGAAAGCAGTTTCCACAAGGCTTAGTGTGGCTTACTTGCTCTTTGTGGTATATCTTAATAACTTAGACTTGTACGTGGGAGGCATGATTGGTAAATTTTGCAGACAATGTGAAATTGTCTGTGTTGTTGCGAGTGAGGAAAATGGCTTCTGACTAGAGGATGATATCTATTGATTGAGTTGGTAGATAAGCGGCAAATGGAATTCAGTTCAAAGAAGTGTGAAGTTATGCATTTGGGGAGGGCAAACAGAGCAAAGATATAAATAGGAAGATATTGAGATGAGTAGAAAAAGTGAGGGACCTTGGAGTGCACGTCCACAGGTCTCTAAAGGTAATTTTATGCTGTTCATTATCTCTTTTATTTTCCATGGTTATTTTTTCTGTAAAATGGAGCTTTTGCTTCTAAGGGGACTACTCCAGCCCAGAATCATTAGCAGCCTCCAGTGGATACCTGAACATGTTAAGAGGTTGAAGCTGAATGTTCCAGGAGGTGTAGGAGGACCAAAGTCTATTGCTGTCAGGTGTGATTCTATCCTTTTATTGGATAGGATATTAAACACAAATGCGGGATGCAAGATTGGAACTGCTTAGGCCACACCTAGAGTTGTTTGTACAGCTCTTTCACCACATTACAGAAAGGACATCAGTGTTCTAGAGAGAGTGCTAGATTTACAAGAATGTTGCCAGAGCTTGAAAATTGCAGAAGTGAAGAAAGATTGGATAGTCTAGGGCTGTTCTCCTTAAAACAGAGGAAGCAGAGACATGACTTAATTGAGAAATACAAAATAATTAAAGGGCTTAAAGTGAACAGGAAGATCTATTTCCCCCAGCAGAGAGGTCAGTTTCCAGAAACACAGATTTGAGATGATTGATAGAGGGTTTAGAATGGACATGAAAAGCTTTTTCACCCAAAGGGGAAGAGGGGGTTGGTGGTGGTGGGCAGCCTTTCCTCTAAACTGTATGACTGCCCAGCTGCTGGGAGGTTCCGTAGATACCAATCAGTTTCTGGAAGCAGCTGCCATGCATGGACTCTGGAGGTCTGTACAGCAGGAAGAACTAGCAGAGGGAGTGTTGGTGTTGGGTGTCTGGAATTTGCTATCCAGTTTGTGGTTGAGGTAGAAACCTCCAAATCACTTCAAAGGAACTTGGATGTCTGCCTGAGATGCTGTAAGCTGCAAGCTACTAATCTGGAACTCGGAAATGGAATTAGAACGGGGTGGCGTGTTTGTGGTGCAGGGATGAAAGGCTGAATGGTAAAAACTTCATGATTGTTCTATGAGCTGGTAAACCTATTGCAGTTATGGAAGTTATGTTCAAATTAGCTGTTGCTTTCCTGTATTACCGTAGTGACTGGACTTCTATCTTGCTTCTTACATGCTTTGAAACCTATTGCAGCTGATAGCGAGGGTTGTTTTATGAGGAGGGGTTAGGCCTATACTGGAGATAGCAAGAACTGTAGATACTGGAGTCAGGGTCAATACAGTGTGGAGCTGGCGGAACACAACAAGTCAGGCAGCATCAGAGGAGCAGGAAAGTCGCCGTTTCGGGTTTACACCCTTTATGAGGGGGGGGGGGGGGGGAGGGAGGGGTGTGGGGGTTGAGGGAATGTGGGTGGGATGGTGATAGGTGGATGCAGATAGGGGGTTGTCATTGAGATTTAGCAAAATGAGAGGTGGTCCTATTGAAGCATTTAAGATTCCAAGGGATTTGACCGGGTGAATGCTGAGAGGATGCTCTTCCTCATGGTAGAGTCTAAAACTGGATGAGGGGGATGACAGCTTAACAACAAGGGGTTTTCCATTTAAGACTTGGGTAGGGAGGAATTTGTTTTCTCCCCAAACGTTGTCAGTCAGTGGAATTGACTTTCTCAGATCATTGGAGGCTGGATCATTGCATATGTTCAAGGCTGAATTAAGACAGATTTTTGAATAGCACAAGAGTTATGGGGAAACTGGGGAGATGAGGCCATAATCTGATTAAGTGTTCCTATTAAAAAGAAGAAGCAGATTTGAGACCAAATAACCTCCTCTGCTCTTGATGCTTGTGTTCATGTGACCACACTATATAATACAAGTCTTTCTCTGTAAAATTGTACTTGCTTTGTTTCTGCTAGTGACTGTTCAGATTCAGATTCAGTGTCCTGCTTTGCCTTTATCTTGAAGCTATTTTGCCGTCATGCTGGTACTACTTGCATCACATTTTTTATTCTTCCCTATGGACAAGCTAATCAAGTGTGTCTGTAATTTTGATCTTTGCATTCCATCTCTGAATCCCGAGTCATTGATAATTCTCAAAAATAGTGGGCCCCAAAACTGGTTCATGTGGCATCCTGTGTTGGATAAACATATGGATGATAATGGAATAGTTTAGGTTAGATGGGCTTCAGATTGGTTTCACAGGTCGGCACAACATCGAGGGCCGAAGGGCCTGTACTGCGCTGTAATGTTCTATGTTCTATGTTCTATGTGTAGTACTTTCCCGATTTTAATACCTTGCTGTAACATAACCAATGGCTTCAGGACCTTTAGCCAGTCTCCTCTCCACTGACAAGTTTGCTAGATTCAGGCATTAACTTGGCCAGGGAAATCTCTGGCTTTTTTTAAAAAAAAAAATTGTGGTCTATGGGGTACTAATTGTGCTGTATCTGCATCTGTTTATGAATATCGTATAATTGTAAAGACTGCAGTAAGAGTGGCACTGCATATTTGAACTATGTCTTGGTAGGAAGGATATGTCTTGTTTAACTGCATTTGGTTACTGAATTTTAGCAGTTCCCACTTTGCTACAACTGAAAGTGTTTGCAACAGAGACAAAAGGGAAAAATGCTCTTTTTCACATTAGTTTTATTAGCATACCTTGGAATTATTGATGAGCGTTGATTACATTGATTTTTATACTGTGCCCCATTTTAACCAAAATTGCCAGTTGGGTAACTTGTAAGATTGGTTTGGTTTTACACCCTGCTCAATTTTTACTATACATTATATTTTGATGAGTAAAGTTAGGATAGGTTGTGCAACTCACCTTCTGTCTAATCCAGTGGCTGTCCCATCTGGGGAGTGTAATGACTCCGTTTGCTGAATACTCTCGTGCCATCCAGCCCGTAATTTCTCCAATCTCTCAAAAATTGACAAATTGCCGTAATGCTTAAATAAAAATATGCAGCACAACTGGCAGGGAGTTATGATTCATAATTTGATATATTGTCACTTGCATTTTACAGTGAATAATACAGTAAAATACAATGAAAACCTTCAAAAGTCGCCACAATTCGGCGCCATTTTGAATAGTTTAAGAATTAAAAGGATAAAGGATATAACTGGAAAAAGAGTCCTGAGCGCCGAGCTGGCTCACCAACGACACTTGTGCCGCCAAAGCCGATAACTTAAATTACTTACAAAGTAATTTGAATTTACTGCAGTAACTTTAAAGTTAACCCTCTGGTGATTATTGCAGAATGGGTGACAAGACCAAATGTAGTCTTCACGAGAAATGGAGTTAAGGTATACAGCATAATTGGACCAGGGCCCATGGGTGTAATCCCTTGCATTTATTGCTGCTGTCTGTAGCTACTCCTGCCAGGTGGTGTGCTGTCATGGGACCGCACTCATCTGTCTTGCTCCATCTTCACACATCCAGTGTAGTTCATCTGCAACCACTCTGTAACCTTCTTCATCTAACCACACCCTAGTCTCTGCAGTCCTCCACTCTCTCCTTTAGAAGAGATCTCGGTAGCTTCTCAGCTCTGATCAAATAGCCAAAATAGTGACACTTTCTTTGCTGGATATCACTGAGTCCTTTTTCTTCCCATTTTTGTTTTTGCAGTTGCAATTTCAAACATTTTGTCTATGGTCTGTTAATGGAATTTTTAGCTTCCGTCTTTTAAACCACATTTCAAAGACCTTTTTTTTTCTGCAGATCTTTTACATATCACCCAGCTTTCTGAGGCAGACAGGAGAGTGGATTTAATGACCCACCTTTTATATTCTGTTTCCCCTTGTTCTAAGTTCTTCTTGTTAAAACATCCTTCATCTCCACAAAATATTATTTCTGGCCATCTCTATCCTAATGATTGTACATCACATCAGCCATCATTTCTTATTGTTTGTCTTAAATTGACCAACTTATTTACCACAAACTGCTGTGCATTTACTTTGTACTTAATAGTTCCATTTTCTAATTCAAGTGGTAATGTTTGCTTAGTGTAGTTGGCTGGAGTAAAGGGGCAATATAGGCTGTGCACTATAGGTAGTAATGGGGCTGTTGATGCAGTTAACAATTTGCTGAATGTTTTTAACTGGTTATGTTACCAAGCTGATGAATGTACACCTTGAACAAATCAAAATAAGCATGCAATTGAAGGAGTTAAAAGCTGCAGAATGACGGAGAGTTTTATAAATCAGGGCACAGATTGGAGGACTTCTGAGATAACTCAGACATATTGAGAGGTAATAGGTTGGCCACAATTTGTCTGCTGTACGCAGTTTTTACAACTACAGTACGTAAAGGCTATTAGAGTGTGTGCATTGTACACTTGTGAGGATAAATTAATTGTGAACAGAATGGTGAGATACTGAGATTATTTGAAGCAGGAAAGGCAAAGAGGAGATAATAAACATTTTTAAAATTCTGAAATTACTTTGTGAGCTTGAAAAACAATTTCAGCACACTTGAGAATTTGTATAATTCTTTTTTTTCTGAGAATTAAGATAATTTTTGTAACTAGAGTTTTCTCTCATTGTCCATTCACTGCCATAAACTTCCTTTTCTGCACTTGCCACGGACAAGTGAAAATATTCTTCAATGATGCAGTATTCCTGTATTACAAAATGCTGTAATGCCATTGTAGAGAGAAATAAAGTCTCAAGTTCCTTAGTTTTCTGGTTTATTCACAAATGTCTTGTTGTGTGGATTCATAGGAGGGGACAGTAGATGCTCAGAAGGATGTGGGCACTGAACCAGCTCATGGATAAATGGTGACAATGCAGCAATCCCTTAGAGGCCTTAAAAGCATGGTTATTTGAAACATTACATGGCTTTTCAGTCAAAACAAATTAATAAGTTGGGGAAAAAAATGAACAGACCCTGTCAAAGTTAAGAATGTAGAAATGAAAAGTTTGCTCATCTTAAGTCCCATTTCACTTTTCCTAGTGCAAACATTGTTTGGCTGGATCTTGTAGTGGTGTTGTTTGTTATAATGCACTGTAGGGTGGGCAGGTTGATTTGAAAACTGCATTGCTCAATAATCTTTCCTCATTTTTACTTATTGAAACCTTTGTACAGGAGAGATTAATCTGTTTTTGAAAGAGCATAATTAATGTAACTTTGCATCTGTCTGGAATTTAAATAGATAGAAGTGAGACTAAACAAGAATTTATTGATCACTGTATGTATTATAGATTCTCGGAAGGAGAAGGATCTGCGAGGATCACTGAAAGCCGAAGTGGAAAGGTACATGTAACACATGACTGCAGTTCGTGTCTTTGCCTTTGCATTGGGAAACAAATATGGTATATTTAAAACTGTATCAATTTGTGTTTCAGTACTTTGCCTAGTAGCTCCATTCATTTGTTGCTGCTCTGCAGCAGAAATCAATTACTACCTATGCCAATTCTTTGTCAGTTCTTCCTTTGGCAGTATTGTACTGGGCAGGTAGCAGTAATGTCATTGGACTAGCAATCTAGAACCCCAGGCCAGTGTTCTGGGGACGTGGCTTCAGATCCCACCATGGCAGATGGTGAAATTTGAATTCAGTAAAATCTGAAGAAAAGAGCTGGCCTAATGACGATCATGAACTCATTGCCGAATGTTTTAAAAACTAATCTGATTCACTGTAGCTTTAGGGAAGGAAATCTGACAATTCTTACCTGGACTGGCCTACATTTGACTCCAGATCCACAACCAAGTGGTTGACTCCAGAGGACATTTCAGATGGGTAATAAATACTGGCTCAGCCAGCGATGTCCACGTCAAATGAGTAAATATTTTTAAAAATGCAAATAGCATCTGTCACTTATCTGCTTCCTATATCCATCCTAATTGTAACATGACATGTATCTGCTCTTGCCATCCCTGAATTACCTCTGGAGACATTGGTCCATCTGAACAGTTGCAGTCTTAAGGTGCAAAAAATTTGACAAATTGGTTTTTTAAATATTTCCGTAAAGAATTCAACAAGACTGTTTGTTTGTGTCGTATCACAGGAGATGGGTGAGATACTAAATGAATATCTTGTGTCAAAATTTATTGTGGAGAAAGACCTGGAAGATGGGGATCTTGAGGAAATAAATAGTGATGTCTTGAAAAGTGTTTATGTTACTGAAGAGGTGGTATTAGAGGTCTTAAAATACATAACGGTTAGATACATCTGATCAGGTGTATCCCAGAGGTTTGAGAAGCTCGGGAAGAGACTGTTGGGCCCCTTGCTGAGATATTTGTATAATTGACAGCCAAGGGCATGGTACCACAAGACTGGAGAGTGGTTAATGTGGTGCCGTTACTTTAGAAAGATGGTAAGGAAAAGCCGGGGAACTACAGACCAGTGAGCCTGACATCAGTGGGGGATAAGTTGTTGGAGGGGATTCTGAGGGACAGGATTTACATGCATTTGGAAAGGCAAGAGCTGATTAGGGATAATCAGCATGACTTTGTGCATGGGAATTTGTGTCTCGCTATCTTGATTGAGTGTTTTTGAAGAAGTGACAAAGAAGTTTGATGAAGGCGGAGTGGTAGACGTTGTCTATATGGACTTCATCAAGGTGTTCATAAGGTTCTGCATGGTAGACTGGTTAGCAAGGTTAGATACTGTGGAATCCAAGGAGGGTGCTAGCCAATTGGATACAAATTTGGCTTGAAGATGGGAGACAGAAGATGGTGGTAGAGGGTTGTTTTTCGGCCATGAGGCCTGTGACCAGCGGTGTGCCGCAAGGTTTGGCACTGGATCCGCTGCTTTCTGTCACTTATATAAACAATTTGGATGAGAATATAGGAGCTCTCATTAGTAAGTTGCAGATGACACTAACTAAATAGGTGGTGTAGTGGACAGTGAAGAAGTAGAGTACAATGGGACTTTAATTAGATGGGCCAATGGGGTGAGGAGTGGCAGATGGAGTTTAATTTAGGTAAGTGTGAAGTATTGAATTTTTGATAAGGCAAACCATGGCAAGACTTCTACAGGGCCCTGGGGAGTTTTGCTGAACAAAGAGATCTAGGGGTGCCGGTGCACACTTCCTTGAAAATGGACTTGCAAGTTGGTGAAGATGATGTTTGGCACTGACCTTATTGGTCAGTGCACTGAGTATAGGAGTTGGATGTCATTTTGTGGCTATATAGGACATTGGTGAGGCCACTCTTTAGAATACTGTGTACTGTTCTGGTCTCCCTGCTATAGGAAGGATATTGTGAAACTTGAAAGGGTTCAGTAAAGATTTACAAGGATGTTGCCAGGATTGAAGGGTTTCAGATATAGGGAGAGGCTGAATAGGCTGGGGCTTTTTTTTTGCCTGGAGCATAGGAGGCTGTGGGGTGATCTTATAGGAGTTTATAAAATCACGAGGGGCATGGATTGGGTGAACAGCCAAGGTTTTTCTCCCCCAAGGTAGAGGACATAGGTTTAAGGTGAGAGGGGAAAGATGTAAAAGGGACCTAAGGGGTAACTTTTTCATGCAGGGTGGTGTGTGTGTGTGTCTGTGTGTGTGTGTGGAACAAACCGCCAGAGGAAGTGGTGGAGGCTGGTACAATTACAACATTTAAAAGGCAGTCTGGATGGGTATATGAATAGGAAGGGTTTAGAGGAATATGAGCCAAAAGTCGACAAATGAAACTAGATCAGTTTAGGATATCTGGTCGATGCAGATGAGTTGGACTGCAGGGTCTGTTTCTGTGCTGAATGACTCTAGAATTGAGAGTATCATGAAGTGTGTCATGGAACAGACTCTGAGAATACTCTTGGTTGCTCTGTGCCTCTGATTGAGAAGGTTGTACAAATCTCACTTCAGAATCTTGAATTCATAATCTTTGGTGCTTTACTGGCAATTCTTAGAGCATTCAGAGTTCCAGGAACTGTCTTTCTGATAAGACTGTGAACCACAAACCTCTAAATGTGGAAGAGCCCAGGGTTGTTTTCAAGTAAAAGAACAAAGATCTTCTCCGTGTCCTGGCCAATACAATATGACAAAATAGATTAGATTAATTCATTTGCTATGTTTGCTGCCATCACAACCACAAGGAGCAGACTCGCTGCCCATTAAATTGTAGTCCCTGTGACCTCTTTGCCATTGTCACCGCATCTCTCTGCTTATTTCCATAACCTAGTGATGACTAAAACTATTATAGGTTGTGCTTTCCTGCTTATTCAATGAGTAAGCACTCTGCAATACTGTCAGGAAGATTTTGTATCCAGTGATTCTGTTTTAAAAAGAACCCCTCATTTGGTTAGCAGGTTGGTGCAGTGACAAGCAGGGCAGTGACCACAGCGCCAAGGTGGTAGTGATGGGAGTGGGACATCGAGTGCACTGATGGACAGAGTGGGTGCTGTTTTCCAGTTCCAGGTGCAGGTGGATGGCATTAATAGCACAGACTTCCTGCCCTAGTGTGGTGGTAGGAGATGCACTACTGCTCATTTGTCTTGTGGAGTTTGAATTTTGTGCTGCTGTTCCTCCTGGAAGTTTAAAAATATAATCAGCACCAATGTATTCTAGTTCTACTGATTTAAAGGAGCTGGTGAAAATGAAAACGGGGCTCCAACACCAAATTCTAGCCTCTGAAAAATCCAGAAGAGCCATAGAAGATTTTTTTTAAAATCCAATAAACAGCTTCTGCTTCAGTAATGATCATTCATAATTTATGCTCTCTTCTCACTGCAAAACCATCAGACAAGTGGAAGGGACAATTTTGCAACAAAGCAGAAATTTCTGCAATTCAAACATCAATTAGACAAGTAAAATAGTCATCAGGGAGATCCTTGTAAAGTCTGTGTCACTTTTACATCAGGGCAGTGCTTTATTGCTCACTTGAGATTTATTGTCACTAACAGATGAGGTAAATTGCCCTTGTTGCAGTCTCAACTAGTACTTGAAGCATAGTATGCTGGAATGCTCTTTTGGTGTACTTTGTAGTCAATTCTGAAGAGGGCAGGAAATTGAGAACTAATTAATTCTGTAATTTGAGTTACAACAGTCGCAGCAAATATTTTTAGTATGTAAGCATCACAATTCAGTTAAATTTACTTAATCAGATCAAAAATGAAACAGTCAATTCCAAGATTTTCTAGAATGAAAGAGACTGGAGTTTCTTCACCCACTAAATCTGAGGGAAATCAGAAATTGAAGTCTGAACATCAAACGCATAACGCACAATACAGGTGATAAACTTGAAGAAGAAGACTGGGGAAAGCAGTGTGGCTAAACAGACCACAGGGTTTTCTTAGAATTCATGCTGTTAGCATCGCTCATTAATCAGTCAACTACCTTCTAAGACTGCAGCAGTCCATTTGCAATCGGTCGACCCACAATGCTGTCATCCAGGTAGTTGCTGGATTTTAACCCAGTGACAGTGAAGGAGCAGTGATATGTTTCCAAGTCAGGATGGTGACTGAATTGGAGGGGAACTTGCAGGTGGTGATGTTCCCACGTATCTGCTACCCTTGTCCTTCTGGATGGACATGTTTGTGGTTTTGGAAGGTGGTGTCTATGGATCTTGGGCAAATTGTCTTTCTTTCACCTCAATTTGAAGCAGGTTCTAAACAGGATTCAAGAAGAAGTGGTAAAGAAAGGCTGGGACCTTTTTCACTGGAGTGTAGGAGTTTGAGAAGTGACCTTTTAAAAGTTTATAAAATCATGAGGGATATAGATATGGTTAATGACAGTTGTTTTTTCCTTAGGATGAGAGATTTGAAGACTTGAAGGCACATTTTTAAGGTGAGAGGAGAGAGATTTAAAAAAGACATGGAGGCAAATTTTTTTACACGAGGGTGGTTCACGTGTGGAATGGACTTCCTGAGGAAGAGGTGGATCTGGGTACAATTACAACATTTAAAAGACATTCTGATAAGTGCATGAATAGGAAAAGGTTTGGGAGGATATAGGCCAGGAGCAGGCAGGTGGGACTAGTTTAGTTTGGGATTATGTTCGACATGGACAGATTGGACTGAAGGTTCTGATTCCATGCTGTATGACCCTATAACAAAGATGTTACCTAATGCACCTCCCAGACTTGGGATTTATTGTAGGGTTTGAAATCCAGCAGTCCCCTAAAAGGTTAAATGACTCTTTTTGATGATTGATTTCAGTCTGACTAATGGAGACAAACTTCTCGGAGTTTGTGTTCAGAACTGACTCCTCTAAAAACCAAAGAACATTACTTTTGTCTGTGTCTGCTGGCGGCATTCAATCATTTGCCAACAGCATGTAATTGAGTGGAAACTTTCTTTTCTTTTTCTTCCCCCTCTGACATATTTTCCCCAGCTTTACCAACCTTAGAAAGCTCAGCCTTTCATGATTGGATAGAATGCCAGCACTCTTAGATAATGAAAGCAAGTTGCCGTACTAGATTACTGTTGAGTGGCACAACCAGTACCCTACTAATGCTTGAACCTAAGCATCAATTGTCATTGAGGAGATGGATGGATATCAATAAAAATTTGGTTTGACACCTCCCCTATGTTACTAATTTTGCTTTAGTGCAAATGTTAGGCAGAGCAGTCATATTTGCCCTGGCTTACAAAGTGAGAAAAAACTTGAAATACCATTGGTGAACAATTGGAAATAAGCCATTAGCATGCAATGGGCTGGATAATATGCACTGCTTAATTGGGGAGGAAAATAACAAACCTATTTGGATAGGGATGGAAACAGAATAGGAGTTTGAACAATTGAATACAAAAGTAGGGAGGCTATGCGCACTATTAAGACCACATCTAATAAACGTTTAGAATTAGTTTCCTTTTTAAGGAAGAATATGAATACATTGGAAGCAATTCCGATAAGGATTACCAGATTAGTACCAGTAACGAAGAGGTTGCCTTAAGAAGCAGCATTAGACAGACCAGACTTGTATCTACTGGAATTTAGAAGAGCAAGAGGCAACTTGATTTAAACTTGTACGATCTTGAGGGGTCTTGACAGGGTATGCGTAGACAGCGTGTTTCCTCTTGTGGCAGAATCATTATTTTAAATTGGCAACACTCTATATTTTTAAAAGAGTTGAGACAACTTTTTCCTGAGGGCCATGAGTGTTTGGAACTTGCTGTTTCTAAAAAGATTCAGAAGCAGAACCTTTTGAATATATTTGAGGTAGAAGTAAGTAGATTCTTCTTAAAGAGATGAAAAGTTATCAATAATAGATGGGAATGTGGGGTTGAAGTTACAATCAGATCAGTTGTGTTTTTGTTTTTAAATGGCGGGGCAGGCTGAAGGTGCTGAAAAGCCTACTCCTGCTCAATATCCTTGTGTTTGTAGCAAACTTGATTGTGAATTTTAGGTTGGAACTGTTTTTAAATGGAACTCTAAAGTGTCCAATAATAGTGAACTTTTTAAACAACATAGTGTATGTTCAAGTTACACATCCTGGTCACTATATCCTGTTCTATTTTTCATCAGGAAAATCAATAAAGAAGATGTAGTAATTATGGATTCTCTAAATTACATCAAAGGTATGCCTAATAATTTATCTGATTCTTTATATGGATTTATTTCTAATTTTTTTAATCTTCCTGAGCAATGTTCCGTGGAATGGGTCATGGCTATTGTGATATTTTACTTCAGCTCATCCAAAATATGGTACCTCCGACAGGGTGGAACATCCTCAGTACTGCAAGATCAGACTCAATTTTTTTTGAGCTTGGGTTTCAAGTGTGAGATTTGCTCACTATCTTCTGTCACAGGGATGAACGTGCTACAGCTGAACCACGTTTGTGTGCAGTGATGTGCCCCATCACCAAGGAGCACCCTCCACTCCTGTATTTCTGCTGTCTGCTGCTTTGGGAGAGATTGAGGAAAGCAGGAAAACTACAGTGAGAATGGAAGGTCAATTCTGAGATTGACTCCTTGAGCTGGTGTCTAGCTGCAGCTTCAACATGGTGATGTAAACTGTTGCTGATGCACCAGAGTGCCTATATTGAGAAGGGGTGAATAAGAGGAGGTTCACCATCAAATAGCAAATGATTTGGACAAGGGCTTGAATAGGATCCTCTGTGACTACCCTTATGTATTAATGACAATGAGATACTTGACCAGAAAGCACTTAAAGATTCTTTTGTGATGTATGTTGCTGTAATAAAGTAGATTACGTGTACATCTCTAATATGTTCCCTAGACTTGTCTGTTGTATATTTTTTATCACTTGTGGAATGTGGGTGTCATTGGCAGGCCAGCGTTTATTGCCCGTCTTGAGAAGGTGGAAGTGAGCTGCTTTCTTGAACTATTGTCGTCCTCATTCTGTAAGTTGACCCACAATGCCCATAGGGAGAGAGTTCCAGGATTTTGACCCAACAATATTGAAGGAACGGTGATATATTTCCAAGTCAGGATGGTGAGTGGCTTTGGAGGAAACTTGGAGGGGGTGGTGTCCCCATGTATCTGCTGCCCTTGTCCTTCTAGGTGCAAGTGATCATGGGTTTGGAAGGAGCTGTCTGAAGATCTTTGGAACTTGAAACATTTTATTTCAAAGTAAGAGAGCTGACTATTTCTAACACTGGGGGCTTGTATGCAGCTGCAAAGATACAGTGGAAGCATTTGTCTGGAATTAATGTGAAGGTATGTACAGGCTTTCAGAATATGCCCATTTATAGTAATTAGCCTTCATGATTCAAGGTACAGAGCAGTTCTACTTCAGATATTTATTAAATTTGATTTGGTTGTATCATACTCCTGCCCATGACAGAGGATTGTGTATCCCTGCCCAGAAAACTGAGGACTAAATAGATGCTAATTATTGCAAAACTGAGGGAGGTCTGCCCTGTTGGAGATGTCATCTCTTGGATGAGATGTTAAACTGAATCCCCGTCTGTTATCGAAGGTGGACATAACGTAAAACATCCCACATCACTACTACTTGAAGAAGGGTGTGGGTGGGCACAGCAAGGTTCTGAAAACAGCATTGTTATATTGCTTTAGTAATCGAGGGATAAAATTTAGCTGGGATATTGAGGGGAAATCAAACTTATTTCTTTCAAAACAGTCATAGGATTTTATTTACACCCTGCTGACAGGACAAATAGACCTTTGGTTGAAAGGTTGATCTTAACAAGGGAACTGCACAGTATTCAGTCAATGTTGCATTAGAGTGTTGGCCAAGGTTAAGTGCTCTTGGTCTCTGCCTTTGCACTTGTACCCACAACCCATTGAGAAAGATTGATTCCGTATTTAGTCTGGAGGTGCTCCATCTTTGTTTTCACTTTCAACTGCTGGTGTATATTATCAAAGGTATATGCTCAGTGGGCACTTACGAATTCACATAGTCAATGACCAAACAACTAACAATGTCCAATAATAAAGCTGTAAGTAAATATTTTCATTGAAACCTACTATGCCCAAACTGCCTGTGAGACAAACTGTCAGGCTACTAGCATCCACAGCTTTAAATACATTAACCACAGTGAGAGGGAAGTTGGGAGAGAGGAGTTCTATTTTATTTGTAGTAGTTGTACCTATTTTAAAGAAGGATAATTTACCTGGAAGAAGTATCAATTTACTAATCTCCAGTGTCTCTCAGTTTGTAGCTCACACTTTGCTGATTCGTGTGGATGATGTGGCCTTATTTTGATTGTTCCTGGATCCTGATTATGACAAGTCTCCCAAAGTAGCCGCTGAGATTCTTCCAGGTTTCAGATAGTCTGTTGTCACATTGTCTGTGGATTTTCTCTGTTAGGGGTAAATTCCACAAAAGTGAGGGTAGATGAAAGTCAATATGTCCAACACTTCCTCCTCCCCTTTGCTAGTTGTGATCAGGGTAAATGTAACTTGGCCTTTTAATTAAAAATACAATCTAGCTGCACACAAACAGCAAAGTTCCACGTGACTTGTCTCAACTGGGCCCATCATGTAAGGTTATCTGGAGCTGAGCATGGGAAGCTGAGGCATTTACTGGACCCAATCAGGCTTCAAAATGGGGGCAGCAGGTGAATTTGCCCTAAAAAGCCCACAGGAAATTTCACGGGTGGCATGTGAGAGAAAATTCTCCCTTGTATAAGGTGAGGCAGAATCTGAGGAGTAAACTCCTCCAATTACAGTTTCTGTCTCTCCCCTGCCAAATGCTCCAGCTTCTCCAATCACTCGCTTCCTCTCTTTTTGAGCTTGTTGCTCCTTGAGACACAATTTGTGATTGGAAAAGTGCCGAGGGCAGGAGTGTGGGAACTTGTGCTTAGAAAAACTGGAACAGTTATTCTGGTTGGTCTTGCTGTTGCCGTCACCAGTGACTTGGAGAGGTGGCAGTTTTGAAGGAAGGTAAGAAATAGCTCCTGCTGTTGGGCACTGATAACCTAGATAAATTAGGACTAGGTTTGCATTTGAGGTTTACAGTTGATGGTAGATAAACTAGGTAAATTAGCTATTTAAAGCTCCATGAAATTTTTTCTCAAAGCTTCGAATTTGTACAGCATCTGTGCCTGCCTTTGAGGGCATACAGTTCACCTGGGGCAGTATCTGTCCTGAGTTTGGCTTGGTTAGTATAGATGTCTGAATGCCTTATGAGATTCTCCAAAAAGACCTTTGGGAGTTTAGGGCAATGGTTTTTTGTGTGTCTCCATCTCTAGCAATGTAATGCTTTCCTATATGTTGTACTTTTAAGCTTAATTGAGGGGTGATGATTGCAGAGGATATTGATGAATCTTCCAATTCTGCTTTTGAGAGCCCAGACCTCTCCTGTGTCATCCGTATAGCTTGATAATGCTTGGAGCCGATTTATTAAAAACTCTTTTCTGGTCCACCGTGTTTTTACTTATACAAGCAAATACCCTAAACATAGCTGTGCTTTTGATTAGAAGATTAATTATTGAATGCAAAATACGTTTTTGTTAAGCCTCAATAGAATACAACTTGTATAACAATAGGTTATAACTTCATCTGGTCTGCCTAACTGGGGGAATTTTTTAAAAAGATATTTCTGACAGCCTGTTTTAATGTTTGCCCAAAGAAAATCAATGTCCATTGTAAAGAGTATGGCATTGGGGATGTACAGTTAAACGCAGCCAGCTGTATTAAATGGTGTGTCTCTTTTAAGGTAGGTAAGATGGTTCTGTGTTAAAGGGTTCCAATTAGTCACCTTAAAGCTCAAATGATCAAATAAAGAAATGCATTAGCTTGGAAAAAATCCCTGCAGTTTCACTTAAACCATTCACTATCTAATTTCTGTGTATTCCACCTGTTGCACAAAAGGACCATTTGGAAGCCCACGCCTTGATTTTTTGTTTTTAAGCACACATTTAGTGCCGAAGTATCAAGGGAGGAAAAAAAAGCTTGCAATTAGCTAAATGAAGCTAAATAATGCTAAAGGCTTGCAATTAATCTTTAGAAAGAACAGCAAATGTGAGATTTATTACCAATAAGTTAAGTTGTGCCAAGTAATTAGGATTTTCATTTTGGAGACTAATGTAGGTTTGTTTGCAGTAAGTTAACAAAATATATTTACAGATTCCCAAGTTAAAACGTTTAAATCATTAAAGTTCATGTGCTTGACCTACCTCTTCTATCTAAAGAAGGAAATCCTTTTTTAAAAGAAACTAATACAAAATTAGGCACAGAAGGAAATGTTACTACCTGACTGCACCATCTAATGAAGTATTTTTTAAGAAAGTAAAAGAAGCCCATGAAAGCCAAGAAAATGTCATTAAGAGTGCTCAGCAGCAAAAAAAGTCATGTTTGCCAAGTACAAGTGCTCAATTACCAACTCGCTAACAGAAGGATTTACTCAGGAAGAGAGAGAGCCTTAATTTTGTGTAATTTATATTTTCAGTCCTGTTTTTATGATATGTTTGTAACTTACCATCTCTGCATGTCTTGATGACTATTGATACGAGGAGGCTCTTCACCAACTGGATACACTGGGGGTAATGAGGGAATTGAGGAGCTGAGGGCAGCATCCAAAGAATGTATGTGTTGAAGCTGCCAATTTAACTTGTCTAAACTGATGAGTCAGACAGATGGAGAGCCTGCAGTAAATGAATAGCTGAGATGATTAATGGGACCTGTTAAACAAGAATCCAGACCAAAGTGACTTTGCATGTAACACTTCTTCTGAAGATTGTGAAAATATTGACTCGCAGTGCCTAATTTTGTTCCAACAATGTGCATCTCTGTGATTGTTGCTCTTTTTAAATAAAGGCTACAGATATGAACTTTTCTGCCTGGTAAAGCATGCACAGACCCCACACTGCCTGGTAAGGAGCCATTATTTATCTTTTTTTTTTTTTTGGGGAACCAACGTGAAAGATATTGAAGGATATATACAATATGAAAATGAATTTATTGTACAGCTGCTAGTTCTGGCCTGGTAGAATCCAAGACTCTTGAATTATCATCTTTCTGCTGCCTTCCTTCCCACCCACCCTTTTAAACTGAGCAAATTATATTGGAAAATGTGATCTGGAGTCAATTGTATTCATTTATGTTATCTGATGTATCTTCACAATATTTTGTAAATGGAATGACTAATGCTTTGAATAAAATCCTTTTAAGAATTGTTGCTTTTTATACTTATAAAAAAAATCCTTTCTCTCTCCTCCTCCTCCTCTGTCAACTCTAATCCCCATATGGAAAGAAGGAAGAAATTTTTATTTATTTCAAGCCATTGCCGTCCACAAGACGTGTGTGTCAGTGTTTCATGAGCAGTGAGTTCCTTTTTCTGTATTAAATACAGACAAAGTGCCATGGAGCTAATTTGCGCCAAACTTGTGTTTAATTCAAACTTGATTACGCTTGATTGAACTTTCACAACAACCTCTGGCGGGGGGAAAAAGGAATTGTACAGGCACTGTGCTCCCTTTTTGAATTAAACAAAAGTGTGAAGGACAATAGCTCCCTTGTGCATTCTCCCTGGCAACTCCCTGACCAGTCAAAGCTGACTTACCAATCAGCTTTTTCTCATCTGTTGTACTCTTTGAAATTTGGTGTTCTTGTGAATGTGAGTGTGCAAGTTGGAAAAGTTCTGGCAGCAATTTTTTTTTGTTTTTTTTTGTTTTATCTGTATGACCAAGCAACAAATTGGCTGTTACTGCTGTCCTGCAAACATAAGTGGCAGCTAATTTGTGCATAGCATGGTCCCCACAAACAGCGATGGCTGGCTTTTGGTGGTGTTGATTTTGAAATGAATGCCAGGAGAACTGTGTATTTCAAAGACAGTTCATTACATCTATTCTATCCTATTCTAAAGCAGGGGTGGGAGTGTTCAATTTCAGTCGCTCTGCATATGCACAGTCACACAGCCAGTGGCACAGAATCTACAGCTCAACTCTTAGACTGCATGCAATCCATTTTTCTTTGTGTCTTTCCTACAGCCATTGTAATGGGACTGTTGATCAATAAATAGTCAATTCACAGCAGAGAAAAATTGCAGGAACATTGCCCTGCACCCTCCCCCACTTTCTTGAAGGCCTCCCTCAGTACTGCACTGAAATGTCAGCCTATGGTGTTTGCTCAGATTCCTGAATCTGGATTGAAATTGTATCCTTACAGTATCCTTAAAAGGCTACAGCTGAGCCAAAATTGTATCAGAGATAGTAGGAACTGCAGATGCTGGAGAATCTGAGATAACAAGGTGTAGAGCTGGATGAACACAGCAGGCCGAGCAGCATCATAGGAGC